AGCCAACCCTTTGTCAAGCTAATGTAGTCTGCATTGTACCTTGGCTTCAAGAGGAACCTTAAGATGTAGCCAGTGTCTATATTCTTACATGGAAACCTAACATTCTTCGCAGAAATACTTGGAACCTGGAATGAAATAATATGTCAGCTGATATGAAGAACTCAACCCTGTCACTGGCAATCAACAAGCAGGAACACACTCTCTCAAAATAATAATAATATAAAATAAATAAATATACGGCCACCCCCTCAATCATGTTATGTGGACAAGTCTTGCCCTGATCAGTAGATCGTCTCCAGATTTCCCAAAAGAATGATTCCCTGCATGCAGGGTTTATCCCGATCTCAGAAATTCCTTTTCTGTTATACTAAATCATCACAGCTAGACAAACTGTCAGAGTCTCACCCAAAGACTGGTCAAAGAAAATAAGGAATTACAATGATAGGGGAGGCCAAGCAAAGCTCTTTCCCAATATGCTGTCAGACTGATCGCATTATTGATTTGGCTCTCCCAGAGGTTTTGTCCAGGAAGATTTGCCAGTTCAGGATGGAGCCCTAACTTGCATGTATTTTCCCATTAGCAGCGACAGCAGATCAGGAGGATGTTGATTTCTTCTAACATGAACTATAGCCTATTTCGGTACTAGGGGCTGGGTTTTATTTTTTGTTTAATGACTAATCATCTCGAGCTTTGGGCCGTAAAATGAATGTGCCGTGGTGACACTGCCGCCTTTAACCTGCATTTAAATGCAACAGCATGGCAAAGCCTGTATCTGCCGTGGGAGGCAGCGGGGAGAGAGATGCTTGGCAAAAGAAGGGAAGGATGATGTCGGACGGTGAAAGCCACAGAATTGCTGCTGCTGTGCGATCTGCCTGAGCAGCTCTGAAGTCAGACGGGTCCTTTCAGAGACAAAGAGCCAGCCCCTTTCTTCCCATGCACTCTGATGCAGATTTTGCTTTGAAAACAGTGCGGGAGGAATGCACTGCACCGAATGCTAGTTCACCCCGTCCCTGTAGGAACTCCCTCTCCTTCCCCCTACCCATTCTTCAGCTCATCCACAGAGAAACCTGTGTACCCATTAGAGCCCCGCTGGCTGGAAGAGCTCTATGCCCATAAGTGTCTTTCAGCTGGAAAGCAGGAACAAAGGCAACAGGAGTCCTGCCTGCCATGAGAACAAAGGAACATTTGGTGGGGATGGAGGGAGGAGAGTAGTAGGAGGAGGACGGTTAGTCCATGGCCTCAGTTAATGAATGCAAATGTCTACATTGCCCCTGGAACAAATTCCCTGGAAACAACACAGGATGACATTGAATGTACAGCAAAGAGAGAAAACTCTTTCCATAGACAAGGTAGTGCAGCCAGCACATGAGCCAGCTGCAAAGCGGAGCATCCGACATAACAGATGGCCCCTTGGGACACGACTCTAGATTTTGGGAGAAGGGAGCGTCTGCAAACCTAACAGCGTTGCTGGAACTCCCGTTTAATGTGTCGCCCGGTAGCAGGTCCCTCATACACACCCTAGGGACATCACAGTCGCTGCAGCAGCCCCCGCTGCCAGTTTGGATATTGCAAACCGTGCTCTGTTTGGACATCAATCCAGTTCAAAGGCACTCATGTTTTGCCCTAACTTGATACACAGATTGTCCCAGCAGACAGCTTCTGTGACGACTTTCCAGCATCCACAGCACATCATAACACGGCCCAGCTGCCAGGAGCTGGCTTTTAACAGCAAGCGCCGAATTGTTAAAACAGCAGGATCTGCAATATGTCTCCAGGTCAACCCCCTTAGCATACAGGTTTACCGAGCTGGCCTTCATGGAAATCAAGGTCTGCAGACATCTCTCTCTTAGTGCCTGATTCAAAGCCCCCTGAAGTAAAAGAAAATCTTGGTACCCACTTTACTTCTGACATACGTAACCTTTTTGCATGTGTGATGCCAGAGGATCTCAAGTCAAATGATCACAGAGCCGTGAGTAATTAATATATAAACTGTGCTTTAGACACTGCATCAGATACGGTCTTCTTTTTTATATATTTAAAAAGGTGGGGCAGGTCAAAATGATCAGTGTCAAACTTCAGAAACAATCTCTTCATATTGAAGGACAATTTCAATTCCTCATTCTTTCCTCCCTCTCTTTGTGAGGTTAGCTAACAGAGAAGAAGAAGAATAAAAATACGTAGCAACCAAGCTAGATTCATGCATAGGGCAGGATATTCCAGTGGTAAACATCAATCGATATCATACTGCTGTGGACAGTACTCTAGCAAGCTCTGCCTTTGAATTATAGCCTTCTTTGATTTTGCTGAAGTTTAATCTGGCCCCTGCTTTGTATAGCAGCACTAGATTGGCGCATCCCACTCAGCTTCACAATTTGGTTCTCTGTGCCTTTGTCCGCCTGGAAAAGCCTTTTTAGCTACAATTTGCAGAGGAGGGAAAAATCAATTCAAACGGCACACCTCTGTCGACACCGTGCTGTATTTACTGCAGAGAGTTGCTGGGGGAGGCAAGGGGGGAGGGGATTTGTCAAAGGTTAGTGGTGCTTTCTATTGCCATGGTTTCATGTTTCCTCATTTTCAAATATTTGGTCGAAATGCCTCATAGACCCTTAATTTCTTATTTGCTGCATAGAGTGGATATCAAATAAATCTTCCTAAAGTGTCTACTTCAAACAGGGGGGTTTTCCTGACAACCCCCTGAAGAACTGTCTTCTCCTTGCTGCTGATTACTGGGAATAAACAAAAGCCGTCTTTATAGTCAGACTTCTGCTTAATTCCATCAGCGATGCAAAACCAAGGAGACTAGACTGATCCGCCACACATGCACAACTGGCCATGGGAGCTGCACACACATTGGAGGGGAGAAGTCAGAAAGAGACCCATTTTAGATCATCTAGTGGATGTTCCCCTGCTTAACTGAGGATTGTTTTTAAAAAGCGTAGTACCCAATAATTTGTCCCATCTGAGGGGGCTGTCATCACATCACATCTATGCACACCCTGTGTCCGCGGGGATCCCACAATTCACTGCCACGAAGCAGTCTGAATGTCACAGGCACTGGATTGCAGCATCACTAAATGAATTCTAATGGGTCAGAGACACTGACTCAAGGAGAGTGAATTTCTATTTACACACAAGGCATCTTGTTCTTGAATGCACTTTGTAGATGGTTTTCAATCCAAGATCAGCTGCAAACAAGTAAACCTCAGAGGTTTAAACGCAGCCATAATAAGTATTAAGCCATGTTAAGCGTAGCAGCTCTCTCTCACAATGTTTAACTCTTAAGAGCTCCATGTGACACATACCGTAGCAGGGGGAAAAATCAGGTTGACTAGTTTACAGAACATTTGATTTAGCTCTCTCGGGATGCAGTACCCACCCATCTGCCACTTACATTAAATATTCAGTTCAGCTTTAGCACTTGGGTAGAGGTGACCGTTAATGCACAATGATTGTGCAGCAGCACTTTGCTTTCACACATGCTTTCTGGGTGGCTCTTGTTCGAGGAATTGATGTGAACAAATCCCTTCTGGATCATAAAACAGGTGCTCAGAAGTAGCCACCAGTAATGCCTGGACTGTGATTCCATCACAACACCTGGCTTTACAGCAAATAACAATGATCATGAAGTTCCTGGTATACGGTTTTGTTTAAACCAACCCTGTGAAAGACCTGCTATGCTGAAAGGTTCCCCTCGCCCCCTCCTGGCAGCTGTGCCCAGGAGTGAGGTAGCATCTCGACACGACAGTCACTGAATTTCCTAAAGCTGGAGGGTACGATCCAATTCTAGGATCTATCACTGAATCCTGACCTAAGTCCTAACTTTGCTAACACCAATCTGGAACGAATCCAGCCGTGTGGCTTTTTTCGTTCTTTGAGATGTGCCTTCTTTTACAGAGCCCAGGCTAGCATCTTGCACAATAAACTTTTCTTTCTTCAAGAGAAAAGTCTGGCTCTCTCTTTAGAGGGTGTAATGTTAAGTTGCCATGGAAGTGCCAGCACAGCGATCAAGCAGGGGCAGTTCCCAGCCTGCCACTAAAGAGCTTTGGGTTCCTAGCTGTACCACTGAAACAGAGCAAGTCCCTGGGACAGATCATAGCACAGGAAGCGTGGCTGCAAAAACCAGCATGTATTTTGATAGCTTATTTCAACCAGATCCTCTGTTTGGATCTGATTTGTAGTAGGACCCATTGAGACGCATAAGCGGTCTCCACAGAGATTCAGCCTGCTGGAGCGTTTCCTACTCAGAATACATATTTTCAGTCTTGCATCTGAAGAAGTGAGGTTCTTACCCACGAAAGCTTATGCTCCCAATACTTCTGTTAGTCTTAAAGGTGCCACAGGACCCTCTGTTGCTATTTTCAGGATTGTTATTTGGTGGTTGGAGTTTATTTACATATTTTAATTCCAAGCCAGAACAGCCTCTCCTTAAAGAACCGGAGAGTCCAATGTCAATCTTAGTAATACGTTGCTTTCAAAATTCCGTGCAGGCTACTATTATTAATGGACTAATAAATCTGCGGGGCACAGAAACTGGAAACAGGTGATGGATTTCAGCTTCCAGATTTAAGGCGGGGGGTGGGGGGGGACCCGGTTTCCTTTGCAGCTTCTGAAGAGAGAGGCAGCAAAGGAGCTTGTTTGGCAAGCTGCACCGTGATCCCCAAGCTCCAACAGCCATGGAGAGCCCTTCCATGGGGGAAAAGCAACGCTGCTCCTCCAGCCCCAAGCTAACCACCGTCCCTCCCCAGCACCAGGCTCCATCCTCCCGGGAAACAGAAGCGAGTCTCAGCTCCATGGTACAATGGTTGCTCCAGAGAATAAGCAGCCTATTCCCCAAGAGGCGGTTTAACCCTCACTGGACCACCCCCGCCCCAAGGCAAGACAATCCCTCCTCTGCCCCCTTCCAGCATGCGAGAACGCGCCGGGCTTTGGGGGGAGGATGGAGGGATGGACGCCCAGGCTGCACCGTGAAACGACGGGGACCCGGTGTGGCTGCAACTTACAACTCCCAGGTTCAGGTCATCGGCCGTAGGGGTCGGCGCCGCGGAGGTTTCCTGCCAAGCCAGCCAGACGGCGATGGTCAGAAACATTTCCCGGGAAACCCCACTCTGCCTGGTGGCCACGGTCCACAGCAGCATCCCTCCTAGTCCCGCGCCGCCTCCCGCTGCCGCTCCCAGGGCAGGAGCCGACGCCGGGCTCCGGCGATCTGCGGGGGCACCGAGGCGGCGGGCGGCATCCGAGCGCGCAGCCGCCTCCTCCCCGGGCTCCAACTTTCCCGGCTCCCGCCGCTCTCCAGCCCGGGCGCTTCCCCCGCGCAGCAGCAGCCGGAGCCGGGCTCCGGGGAGAGGGGAAGTTGCTTCGGGCCCCGCGGCTCCGCGCCTCCCTCCCCGGGGCAGCGCAGCGGCCACACGCCAGCCGCCCCCGCCAGCAGCCCGGCCGCCTCTGCCCGCAGCCCCAGCCCGGCCGGCTCGCAGGGAGGAGGGGCGGAGCGGCTCCCGGGGAAGGGGCGGGGCTCAGGAGCACGGCGGAGGGGGGGACCCCGCGCGGGAGGGAGCGGGGGCTGCCGGGGGGGGCGCTGCGGCCGCGCAGCCCGGGGGGGAGACGCGGGACCGGCCGGGGGGACGGCGGGGCTTTTGCGATCCTGCACCGCCAGCAGCGGCTTCCTCGTTGCAGCCGCGGCAATAGAGCGCCCCCGAGCCCGGCCGGCTTCTCCGCCTCCCCTTGCTCTGAGCAGACGCTGCCCCGGGGCAGCTCCCCAGGAGGGTCCGTCCCCTCCGGCAGGGCCTTTAGCCCGAAAGAGAAACACCCCCTAGCAACTTCTCTGCACTGAGGGGGAGGAAAGATCAGGCTGCACTTGGCTGGGGGTTAAGGGCTGAGGAGATCTGAGTTCAGGTCCTGGTGCCCATACAGGCTTCCTGTGTGACCTTGGGCAAGTCATGGGATCCAAGACCCACTGCAATTGTCTTGCCCTTGGCCTCAGAGGACTGGGGCCCAGGCTCTTCATACCTCCATGCACCTGTTTCTTCCTTGGTCTGTCTTGTCTCTGCAGACTGAGAGATCTTTGGGGCAGGAGCTGTGTCTTCCTGGGGGTTTGTGCAGCACCTAGCGCAGTGGGGCCCCAATCTGGGTTGGTGAATCTATGTGCTGTCCTAGTAATAATGAAAAGTAATGTTTGTTTGGGGCGTTTGTCCCACTGGGTATTGTGCAGAGCAAAGATTCCATGGAGGAAGGGGGGTGGATTAGAGAAGCACCATATAAAACCCATATCTATCCCTGTATCTGATCAGAGAGAGACACCACGATAGCACAATGTTCAGTGACAGGTATGCAAGGTCTTATTTTTATGCCACCTACAACATTGATCATGGAGTCTGTGCTTATTAGTAAATAATGAGTTGCCTTGTTACCTATCAGATAAAAGCAATCATATAATTTCTTGGGAGGTGGAATAGTCCAGCGGTGAGGGTACCGAGCTGGCAGTCAGGCCACCCCGCATTCCAGCCCTGGCTCTGCTACTGGCCTGGTGGGTGACCGTGGGCAAATCACTTCCCTGCTCTGTGCCTTAGTTTCCCATCTGTAAAAAGGAGGAGAATGTTGCTGACTTTCCTTTGGGATCTTCAGCTGAAAAGATTAATATACAAAGGAAAGAGCCTGCTAGAAAAGGAAGATCTGTGCAGTACCTTTCAAACATCCCAGTGGTTCATTTCCAAAGCCAGCTGTTTACAGAGGGTATGCCTGTGTGGGGTGCAGAGGGGAGGAAAGAAGAAACAGGATTTGACTCTCCCAGAGGGAGAGTAACTTAAATCAGAACATGGGGTGGCCTCTCACTTAGATTTAACAGCTTCTGTTTTCTCTCTCTAGACAAAACGAACCATCCATGTTTCTGATGCACATGTACAAATTAATTTTAATAATTTAAATTCTTGCAGGGCAAGAGATACTTGCTCCAGGCTAAACTCTTAAAGGGTCTTTTCAGCATCACTCTCGGCCTAGGAGCTGCTTTCTTTTCCACTCTTCAGTGTCAGGGCCCTGAGCACTGACAACTCACAGACAGTGCTCTGAACGGCTGCACACATCCCTCCCTGTTCAGGTCTGCCCTTCTTTAGCGAGAGGAACAGTTACAAAACCATCGGGCACCCAAAATATATGGCCTGAGCCAAAGCCCGCTGATGTAAATGGGAAGTTTCCTGCCTGCTGGAGCGGCCTCCCTGTACTTTTCCATCCATTTTCATTTCTCATCCAAGGACATAGACCGTGGAGCCAGGGAGGCACCACCAGGGCCAGGGCCCAAGCACTTTTAAGCAAGTAACATCTCCTTACTCTTTGGCTCCTCTCCCTGTCAATAGCATTTCTACAGGGCTGCAGGCCTCATTCCTGGCTGATGGGAACACTGTTGCCATTTCAGTTCTTGGTTAGGGGATGAGCTTGTGAGTGTCACAGCTCCCATCTTCTCTACCTCCTAGGCCACTGGCTCCAAGGCTCTCACCACCTACTGGCTGCCCTAGGGTGACCAGACAGCAAATGTGACAAATCGGGACGGGGGTGGGGGATAATAGGAGCCTATATAAGAAAAAGACCCAAAAATCGGGACGGTCCCTATAAAATCGGGACATCTGGTCACCCTAGCCCATTTGGTTCTCTCTGCTGCAGTTTGTTCAAGCCAACTGTGGGTTGAAATTCACTCCCATGCCGAGGGCCTGCCAAGGCCTATGCCCCTGCTCTCCTACTTAAAGTCTGTGTAAGCATTGGGCAGACTCCGCGCAGGGGATGAAATTTCACCTGACATGACGAAGAAAGAGCACTAAATAATAGGCCAACGAAGTGTCTGCTCCTCTTCCCCTTGAAGTCACTGAAAGCTTTTCCATGGACGTTAATAGGTTCAGCGTCAGGCCCACAGATTCCAGCTCTCTACCTTAGCAGAAAGCAGATTCCCTTGGGAATATTTAGACTATGTCAATAATAATAATCAAATACCATGAAAGATGCTTTATCACATACACCGACTGGATCATGCTAGCAAAGCTCCCAGTCTTTCAAGCCCTCTAAACCAATGAAGTCAGTTTTTAATTTCTGACAACTTACTAGATCTGAACACAGAGAGTCTACAACTTACTAGGTCTGAACGGGAGTGCTGCACTTTGCTGCTGTTTCAACATGCAGCACACCTCGGTCCAGCCTTTAAACTCTGCATCACCCCCAGCGAGTAGCAGAGTCTATGCGTGCAGTCCATCTCAGATTGGCTTTGGTTTCATTGTGACAAATGGATTGTCCCAGTAAACAGTGGCAGGATTTTACAGCTTCTGCAATGCATTTTCCTTGGGAGCTGGGAGCCTGCCTTATTCTTAAAGGGATAGATGGCACTGTTCACCCTGAGATCTCCAGATTCTGCCTGTTCAGGATGGAATGTACAAAACAATAGTGTACATCAATACGATACCTTCAATGCATAGAGGGATCACTGAAATGCAGCCACTTCTGGGGGAGAAGGGCAGCAGCTAGCAGCCGGGACCAGCACAGTGCTGTGGAGATGAAGAGAGGGAATCAAGGGGGTAAAAAAATGCCATGGGGTATTTAATTTCCACACCAATATACTGAATCTCTGGAGTGCTAGCATCCCTCCCCACTAGTGAACTGCACCGAACTCACTGGGCCTGCTCAGTGAAGTCAATGGAACTATGCTGTTTTACACCAGCTGAGGATCTAGCCCACTATATCTACCACAGAAGGGTGCAGGGCTCAGTTGACCCTGTTGGGATTCAGACCCATGGTTGCCAGGAGTCTAGGAGGTTCAAGGGCTTTTCTTGCTAAAACAAAGTCCCAACCCTCCGTCCTCAAAGCTAATGGCAAAAATGCCATTAGCTTCAATAGATTTCTAAATAAAGACAAATCTATGGTGCATTAGGTCTAGCCTGTTCTGTATTCTAATGTCTCCATTTCACATTCCTCTAATTATAAATTTGGAAACTTGCCTAAATCCTCTTTACTACTTTGTGGTTCTCTTTCCCCCACTGTCTCTCTTTCGGCGCCTTTTTATTTTTCTCTCTCTTCTTCGTGTTATTCTCTTTGAATCAATATCTCCTCATCCTCCTTCCTTTTTCTCCATTTGCTTTCCTTCCTTCTTGCCCCCTGCTGCCCTTCTCCTGACTCCGCTCTTCCTTTCTGCTGATCTCTGGGGAGAGCTACATTTCTCAAAGCCAATAATTGTTGCATTAGACATGATTATAGAAAGCATATTGTTTGCTTGGATTCAGAAGTCACAACTCCATGCAAAATTAAAAAGCCACCAAACAGCCCCCTTCCAGCCCCTCCCCTGTTTTCAGATTGCAGAAGCATTATCTTGGGTGTTCACTGACACTCTGACATTGCTTAGCAACCTCATGTACAGTAATTTCCTGCTAAGTAGCTTCAGAATCTCTTCTTATTAGGAGTCACTTCACTTGGCAGTTGACATGACTCTGGGCAGATCCAAATGATCCTTTGAAGGGACACAAAGTCAATAGAAAAGACAACACTGGAGCAGTGTACAGTAATGACGCACAACGCTAGCGCTTCCAGTGATGTTAATATACTGTCAGATTCTGTCCCCCTTACCTTGAGGATATGAGCAGTCCCATTGACATCAGGAAGCCTACTCGCAGCATAAGCGCTCGCTAACATAAATAAGGCTTGCAAAATCTGGCCTGTAGCGTTTGGCCGCTGTAGAAGAAGGATGGTCCTGGGGCTAAGGCGCTGGCCTATGGCTCAGGAGAGCTGGGGTGATTTCCAAGCTCTGCCACAGGTTTCCAGTGTAACCTTGGAGAAGTCACTCAGGGAATGTCTGCACTGCAATAAAATACCTGTGGCTGGCCCACGCCAGCTGACTCGGCTCAGGCTGCCAGGCTATAAAATTGAAGTGTAGACATTTGGGCTCAGGGACCCTCCCCCTTCGCGGGGGTCTCAGAGCCCCGGCACCAACCTGACCCTGAGCTCTGCACCGCATTTCTGTAGCCCTGCAGCCCAAGCCCCAGTGAACGGATGTGGGCCAACTGCGGGTCTTTTATCAGGGTGGACATATCCGAGGGGCCTGATTTTCAGAGGTGCTGAGTACCCAGAGCTCCAGCTGAAGTTCAGGGGAGCTGCAGGTGCTCAGCACCCACCC